AGCGTCAAGAGCACGCAGTTGTAATTTCTAAAGTTGAATAAAAAGGGATTTACCCTTCTCAAGACTTTGGTCTATTTCCAGTTCTCAGCAGTCACCACTTTGTTGCGTGCAGGTTGGAAGCGCGCAACTTTACAAACTACTTACAATGAATGGCTCAAAATGGCGTCATTTCAAACCTAATACATGTCATAGTGTCTTGCATAACGTTCGTGACCATTTTAACCAATCGAGACAAATCTGAATTGAAACGAAATTATTTTGCATTAACGTTCATGTTAAACACGATCGCAATCCTGTTTCTGCTTGGTATCCTGCCAACATGTCTCACTTACCTCTCCTTCATCAGTCGTATTGACGTAACAACGTAAAATGGCTCAAATGGGATCAAAAGCCTGCACACAATTTACGAACATCGCATTTTATAATTCAGTTTCAGAATATGCTTCTCAAGAAATAAAATACGTCCGATTGTCCTCAACGACTGCTGTTATTTCTATACATCAACGCTCTTTTATGTTCTCACCATCAGCTTGTAAATCGTTACATTTACGTGAAATTGATAGGATCAGTAGGACATGCCATCGGTTTAGTTTGTGTTAAAAATTTAATTGCAATTCAACAAGACTTGTTAAATAAGATTTGATTTCCTTTTAATTCAGTTTATGTTTTGTGTTGATTTTTTGTGTGAAGTTTTGATTTCGTGAAGTTGATTTTTTGTGTGAAGAAATTGTGAAGTTTACTCAAACATTCATGTAAAAAATTTCCACGTTCACAAAATTAGCAATATTTTTGGTTCTTAGGAATTCATTTATCAAAACAAAAAACTGTTTCCCTCCTTGATCTCTAACATGTCGCTATATAGATGCAAATTTTGCTTCAGTTTTTCCGCTTCTTAACGCCGCAAAACATCATCTTGATCACAAGTACTAGATTCTAACCTGATTCTTAACCAGAAAGTTATTTTTACCATCCATATTTAGTCTCCTTTGCGATTTAGATTAATATTAATAAATTTTACTAATGCAAATAAATTCCACATTGCTCGGAATACAGCATAACATTTTTGTTTATCTTAAAATGCTCTTCTGAAAATCATACGAGTTTTATTTGCTTAGACTAGCATTCAAAGAACGCACTTGCGGAACTTATCATTTGTGCTTTTTTATTCAGCCAAATTTGATTTTTCTCACAAATTCTGAATTTAGTTATTCGTTGTTGCATCATATTTCAAATGTCATAGTCGTTTCATAGGCTTGCAAAAGCTCGAAATCGATTATACTATCAGATTTATTTTGAAAGGTATTTATTTAACTCATACTGCAGACCACACTAATGGATAGGTTAATAATCAATGACTAAACGTTGGGTTAATAAATTAATAGTTTAATCGACGACTTAAGTAAAGTTTATTATAACGACTTAGTATGCTATTTCTTGATGCATTTTAACTCCTTGCAAATAATTTTATAAGATCTTTATGGTTATAACTTGTTATTTTTTAATAATTAATTTGTTATAACTTATTAATATAAAAAAATAATTATTGTTGTAACTTATTAATTGTTATAACTCTTTATTGTTATAATTTGATTCATATAAATAGTGATGTTAAGCAGTTAACATAAAAAACAGAGTATATATAAAAATATCAAAGTTTCTCTTATTACAGTTTGAGAAGCATGTTAACGGCAACCAAAAAAAAAATTGCTTAAATTTTCTTCATTAGACTAAGGCTTAAATAGATTTCAGGTTGAAAATATTTATATAAAGTTCTTTTTTTTATTCTGATGGTGAGAAAATAAAACTCAACAACTTTTAAGTTTAGGTAAGACCATTCATTAATCAACATACGTTTTAGTAGTGGTATCACAAAGGGAAAACTATTATTATACGAATTCTAACATCATAATTATATATGAAACTTGAAGTGTGTGATCATACGTAAATTATTGTTATTTTAACCTTATTTTATCATAAACAGAAATGATGTTAATAGTTTTTTTAATGCATTTTCCTTTTGATTAGTTACTCTATGAAATCTGCAGCCAAACATTATGCATGTATAGTTGGTAAAACTGCTGTGAAGTTTATGTTTTCACAGAATTTAAAAAATTAAATGAAAATTGTCTTCTGAACATTATTCTTTACATCTTATTTTGTATGTGGGTATGCACACGTCATTGATAGAAAATGTTTCGTTTAAAAGAAAACACAATTGTTTTGGGATAGCTCAAGTAAAATATTTTATTTTATTATATAAATATTATTTTAATTAGGCATACTAAACGAGAAGGAATATTTTTGTTAGCCACAAATTTTAAAATACAAAACGAGGGCTTTTGGGACTTATTCATAAACAGTTACCATCCCCACATGATGTTATGTTATGTAATTTAGAAATTAAGAGGGGGCCACCTAATATTTACTCCACGTAAGTAGGTATTAACCCTAAATACAAACCAGAAAACTAACAACATTCCTTCAACATTCCGCGAGTCGTGATGAAATTGTGACTCCAGCCAACACTACAAGATCTGCCACCGCCGACGGCATTAACGGCACTCCTATCTTTCAGCGTTAAATTAGATCAAGTAAAAGGAATTATATTACAAGATATAGATTGCGATATACATAGTTTTGTACAGATGCATGTTCAAGGTGTTAGCTATTATAGTGGATACAGTCAGGACATTATACATTGCAATGGATAGAAGCGTGATATTACCACGTTACAAATCATTTTTGCAAACGTGATCTATTTACATCAGTCTTTACTAAGCGCATATTTTAATTTAGAATTAAGTTAGAGCAATAAATTGTTTACGAAGCTTACATTTAAGTATTGTTGTATAGTTGTGCTGATACTTGAGCAACACAATTTTGACGATTGATTATGTACTATTACGTATGTTTTTGCGATAATTAATTTGCAGAAACTGCATTATATCTAGCAGTACATTGTTATTCACATGGAAAGCTAGATCACCACATTATGTTCCGTAAAAATGGCAAAATGAATACAGGTGACTCATATTTACTGCAGACTTGATTATCTCAAAATTGACTATGCGATTCAATGCCGAACAGCAATTAAGAATTAAAAAATCTGACGTGTACAGCACATGACTTCCTTGTACAGAATATTAAATTATAAATTTTCTTGCATTTCATTTAAACTTATTGAATTGAATTCAGTCTACTTTATCGATAGCGCATAAACAACAATAGAATAAATGCACTCTTTAAAATTCACTATATTTGTTTACCATAGCGACACTTTGGCAGTAGGTTCACTTAAAAGCGTTATATTTCGTTCATATTATAACTCAGAATGCACAAACGTTTTATCATTTGGATAATTATCTAATCGTTGCCACATGTTCTATTCAAATACTATAATAAATCTAGAACGATGTATAAAAGAAATTAAGCAAACAAAACAAAAATGAAACAGTCTTTCACAGACGATTAAGTATTTCTCATTCAATTAATTCAGTTCTAATTTCGCGACAAGGCAAAAATACATAAAAACTCAAAATATCTATATTATAAATTATGAAGTAAATCTTTAAGACTTATTTCCTCGAGAAAATTCCAGAAAGGATTAAGCATGATTTAATTCGAAATAATAAATGAGGGCGTTATCTTCGTTGGTGCGAAGCTTAGTCTCTCTAGATTGGCAACAAATCTACTATTCTGCTGTTTCAAATGTAAACAAACACATGTCTGCCATGTTATTTAAAATTTAGACTTAATCGCACTTAAACAGCTTTTAAATTGTTGATAATTCTACAAATATTGCTTGAAGATTTCCTAAAAGCGTAAACACCGTACCGGAAGATGAGAACAACATAATTCAATCATTTTTAAAGCGAAAAGGGCTCAATTTATAAACATATAAGAGTAAAGTGTGTGTGTGTGTGTGTGATTATGGCAAAGCCTCGAGGGCTATCTGCCTAAGGGGAAGGATGCCTTCGTGGAGGACTTTCTAAGGGAAACTGGCTCGTATACACGTTACACATGGGGAAAACCACGAAAACGCCCATGCAGCCAGCCCGTCCGCGGGATTCGAACCTCGGACCGAACTACCAATGTTCAGCGACTTTACCGCTCGGCCGCTGGTGGGCCCTATAAGAGTAAAGAAACTGAGATCACTGAGCCGGGTAACAGAGTGGACATATAAATATATTTATATCGTTTGGTGGGGCCGATTGAAACCAAAATATGAGGTATTACTACTTGTTATAGCAATTCGATATACAAAATTTCAACGTTCTGAGGCTGCTCGTTTTTTAGTTATGCGAGATACTCCACGAAAAATTCTCTTCAGAATTCATTTTAAAGTAGTTTTTTAATTTTTTTGAACGAAACGAGTCTTTTACTCTGTCCTTACGTACAGATGTCACGCAGAAACATCGTGAAATTGCATTCGATAGCGATCAAAATGGATATTTTCGTTGAAATATGGTGCCTGAAACTTTTCGCGGTTACAATACTTCCTTTTTACTTCGTACAAGGAAGTAAAAATATTAATTTTCAAAATGTAATGAATCTATCATTTAATCAGTGAGTATAGAAGAGTTAAAAGGTGAATCGAATTTCTTTATTTACTGCTTTCAAATTTTGTCGTATGGGTTCTCGTAATGATAAATTTTCAAAATGGAAAAGAAACTGAATCAAGATCTGAATAAATTGTTTGTGCAGTAGTATTATTGCAAATACCAACATAACTGTCTAAAGCTCTTCACAGTAAGCAAATACGTATTTAAAAATAAGAAAAGCTAATAAAAAATTCTCTTTTCTTTTCAAATCGCATGAATGACTTCTTTTTACGGCTTCCTCTTCTCTTTTGCTCTGCAAGCTAAAATTAACTTTCAATCTAGCCCAAAGTAAATTTTCTTTCTCCCCGCTTCAAAAGTAAAAAATTGTGTGATTATCTGACAAACTTATTACTTCCGCTACTTTAATTAAAGAATTTTAGGACACATTAAATATCTTACCGCACAGTTTTGCTCCAGACAGGCAGCTTGAGTGTACGTTACATTACGCGGTATCGTAGCCTGAAAGAAAAAGAAATTGCATTTTAGAAGGGATATAGCATGGTGTCCAGCTCAAGAAATGTTTTATGGATTTTCTCTTTAAAAAATGCATAGTTTTTGTACGCAAAAGTAAAACAAATGTGACATCACCAGCTCATAACTTCCAGAAGATGAGAATAACAAAGACGCTCTAATTGGCGTTTTGCCAAAATATTTTGCATTTATGCAGCACGTGGATTAGATGAAAAATCGCGAATCGTATAAGTAATCTCTGAAGATACAAAATACTGCCCCCCCCAACGGCGGGTTCTAGCCATTATAGGCGTAGGTCACTACCAAGGCCGGAAATGATGGTCACTTTATTATGGAGGCACCTAATAAGTGAATTGCCGTTGCCTATGTATAGACAGACAATTTACATTCATGCCTTCTCCGGGATTCGAACCCGGGTTGCCAAAATTTATAAATGCCAAAATTTTTGTAGTACGGCAATGTTTTCGTATTTCGAGAAGGCACTAGGAAGCAGAATTTAGGTTCGGCAAAATTTATACAACTTAGGGAAGTACCAGGCAGCAGAATTTAGAATCCAAAGAGATTAACAGTGCTTACAAACCAAGATGCATTAACCGGCTCTCTCAAAAAAAAAAAAAAAAAATTCATTTGAAACGATGGAAAAGTTGCTATCATAAACCACTGGCGTAAAACAAATTTATCTACAGAAATTAAAGAAACTTTTAAAGAGAAGCGCGTAGGATGGTAGGTGATGTCACAGTCATTTATAACTCTCCAAATTTTTTTCATTTACGTATAACTTATTCTACCATTGATCAATTATTTTGTCCTTACTTGCAGTGCGTTTATTTTATTTAAACGATGCATTAGTGCATACCTTGCATCAAAAAATAAAAAAAGAAGGGACAGTTCTATATCTTCGTTCTCTGGGCCAAATGAAGAAATATAACTTTCGATTTTTCATGTCTCGAAAGCGCGACTTAGGATATACATATTAGATATATACTTTTTCTGAAATTACATAACTATTTTTTGTCCTTTTTCCCATATTTTGATTCTCATATTATGCCTAAATATTAAATTTTGTAAAACTTGCTGAAAAACTTAAAAGAAATTTTAAAATTCGTTCTGGCGCACCTTTTTCCGTTTGCGCGCGAAGAATAATACTTGGCTATATTCTTAATTTATGGTAACCAATTTTCCTTTCCCTTTCAATGTGCACGACCGTAACAAATGGTGCATTTCAAATAATTTTAACAATGTACATAAACCATACTTGGCGTTATTATCGCTTATCTATATATATAAAAGGAAGAGTCTGTCTCTCTGTGTGTGTGTGTGTTTTGTTCGCGTTGCGCGTAAGCTAATAGACCCAGAGCTACGAAATTTGGTACGTAAGTGCCTCTAGACAAGAACCAGGGCACCTCGAAGCGAGTTTTTCAAAATTTGAATGAGTTATTTTATGTTTTTTTTTTGATGAAATCGCATCAAACCAATAATTCTCTCATTATATCAGCAGCAATGGCATGCAGGCATTGTTGCTGATATATCACTATTGCCATTGTTGCTGATTTTAGCACTGTTGCCACTCGGAAAAATAGGGCGATAATTCTGTGCAGTTTTTAAATTTAATGTTTCTCTTGGATACTGGACGTTTGTTGAGAGAAGGTAGCGGGAAGTGGGTTAATTTATTTATTAGGATAATTAATATTTGTATTAAGGGATATTGCTTATTCCATTGTATGTTTTTATATGTAATACATTTTATTGAATTTTTTTTTATAAGGTTGTTCTGCAGAGTAAAATTCTGCTCAATTTTTAAATTTAATGGTGTTCCCTTAAGAAATTTTCAGCTTTATTTAAAAAGCAGACGAAGGCTGGTCGCGTAGAGGCTAATAGCAAATATGCCAAATTTCAAAACGCTCCGATATATAAATTCACGTTTATCTTTCAAAATTTTGAATAAAAATTATATTTTTTGCAGGTATGCCTAAAAATACATCTACTTTAAGATGATGGCAAAATTTTTGTAGCTTAGGATTCAAAATAGTTTTTTGTAAAGTTTATGAAAATTACTAAAAAACATAAATTAGAAAAAAAAAAAAATCAGAAAATAGCTTCGAGTTCTATTTGTATTGAACTTAAATTTCCATCTGTGAAAGAAGGAATCCGGTAAGTTTAATAAAAAAAGAGTTATTAATAAATATATACCACTAGCAGCTTCACTGCCAGCCTTCGTCTGTCTTTTAAATGTACCGGAAAAATGGCTGAAAGGGACACCAAACGTTAAATTTAAAAACTGCGCAGAATTTTACTCTGCAGGACAACTTCATAAAAAAAAAGTTATTTCGTATAACAAAATTACAATGAAATAAGCAATACCCCTTAATATAAATATTAATTATCCTAATAAATAAATTAACCAACTTCCCTTTGCAAAATCTTAAGAACTCAAATGGTATAAAGGAGGTTAAGAACTTTGTTTCCTAAAAAAATCACTCAAAACTTTCCAGTATCTTAAAGACAATGAAATGAGCAATAAATAAATAAAAGAATACAAAAAAAATTCTGAAAAGCAAAATATAATTAATGATATTTTATCTTATATTTTCAAGACAAAATTTAAAATGAAATAAGCTATATCCCTTAATACAAATATTAATTATCCTAATAAAAAAATTTACCAACTTTCCTCAGAAGGGAAAAAAATCATGCAAAACTTTTCAATATCTTACAAATAATTAAATAAGCAAAACATAACATGAAAGAAACTAAAAAAAAATTTTACTCTGCAGAACAACTTTATGAAAAAAAATCAATAAAAATGTATTATATATATAAAAAAAAGACAATGAAATATGCCAATCTCTTAAAAACAGTGACATAAGAAATACAATGAAAAATTGTTGCCAAACCCATATTTCTAAAAGAAACTATTCAAGATGATGCGATTTCATCAAAAATCTATCAACAACTATAAGACAGGAAAATTGTTGCCAAAATCACAAATTTTAAAGATGTGAGATATGAGAAGTGTACTCGGAAGCTTCATTTAAAAAAATTTTTTTAATGCAAAATATTATCATTTTCACAAAATTCTTTTTGTAAAAGCAGTCGCAAGGATGGAAGTTTATTTAAGGTGTCCAAAAATCAAAGAAAAATAAACTGTACATTTTTAAAAATAAACGTTTTTAGAAAAAATCCCGTTGAAAAGATGTTAAGCTTACTTTGTTAAATAAATTCGTATTTAATCGATTTATTGAAACACGAAATTTATTTTAAGCTCGTAAAATAGCTAAGTGCCTACGTTTCATGACGATATGAAAATGGAGTGTGTAGAGTAAAATCTCGCTTTCCTATAGCCCATTATGTCTCAAAATGACGCGATTTCGTCACAAAACATAAAATTAAAAACATTCTAATTCGAATTTCGAAAAACTCACTTCGAGGGGCACTGGCTCTTGTCTAGATGCACCTACTATGTACCAAATTTCGTAGCCGTGAGTTTATTAACTTACGCACAGCGCGAACGAAAGACACACACACTGACACATAGACAAACTCTTTCTCTTCATATATGTAGAGACGTTTAGAGTTTATTTTTTAAAATCTACTCGTGAGAGTTTTACAAAACTTGGGCTTTCGAAGTAATTTAGTCGTAGAAACGAAATAGGGAAACAATAGGTATGTCATTACAAAATAAGTCCGATTTTGTGTCAGAGTACCTATGTTAGATAAAATACTATATATAAATCTTATATAAATCCTAAATCGAGCTTTCGAGACATAAAAAAGGCAAGTTAAATTTCTTCAATCAGACCAGCAGAACAGGAGATATAGAGCTATCCAATTTTTTTGTGCAAGTTGTACGTTAATTAAGTGAACTTGTTCTTCAAATTAAACTGCTAGAAAACGCAAGGAAATATTACATATTATTTATTTTTCGATAATGAAACTGGTTATTCCTTTTTTGTGTGTTTTAACTGCCCTAAGATTGGTCGTGATTTAGAGTTAATCATAAATGTCATTCTGGTATTACCGCGATTAATCGAGAATTAACTAGAGTCTCTGAGTCACGGGTCAAAAGCATTTATTAAGTAAATAAATCTGTTCTAATGATACATACATGTTTGGATTCGTAGAATGGGTGCTTTTGATCATGTAGTAGCAATTATATCTATCACATAACGCATGAAATTCATGCAAAAGTGCTTCTTTAACTACATTGTAATCGTAAAAAAGAAACTTAGTTAGTAAACTTAGTTAAAGTATCTTATGTTTATAATAACGTTGCAGACATATGCGGCATATTGCTTCCACATATTATCTGCAAATTATTATGTATTATTTTTGCACAGCAGATATGATCTATACTTTATTTGATCTACAGTGAGCAGATAAATTTCTCAGTTTTCTTTTCGAATGTCCCATGGAAGTATTTTTATCTGTTAATAATGGAAAAAAATATAAGTTATATTTCTAAACTAAAAATTACGATTATTTACATCATTACAGTAAATCTGTATACCGCCACTTGATGAAACACTCTCGTGTATATCGTAAATCGGTATAACATTGCAATAAATCTGTGTGCCATATAACAAGTGTTTTACATTCCCAAGGCATTTTACTAAAAAGGCAAGAAATTTTCTGAACATCCAGTTGGATTATTTGGATACCTGTTATGATTCGAATTATAAAATATTCTTTTACTTAAACGAACAGAAAACTCCTTAATCAACTAAATACTTTTTCACCATCAATAAACGTAGTGTAATTATGAAGGAAACAAATAATGATAATGACTCCTATCGTGAAACCAGATATAAAATATATGAAACTTCCACCTGTATAATATTATGTATTATGTTTTATTCTAGTATTTTTTTAGAATAAGGTCCAGCTTCATTTAACCTCTATCAATACTAAAATAGTCACCTGGTGCGGAAGATTGATAAAATCGGAAAGGTTTTGATTACTTCCAAAAAGGATGTAGTTAGGAATTTACTTTGACATCGGCATCCATTATATAACACATAAAATTTTAAACGTACCAAAGGCCAAATTTATGACCACCTATTAAAATAGGCACTGTGTTAGCTCTAAAATTAGGAAGCGTTGTAATAACTTAACTCAATATTCCATACGCGGCGTCGGTGGATCTTGTGTTTTTATTGGCCCAAATAAAGACACTTTCCTTTAGCTAAATCTATTTATGAATCAAAGACTATGTACAAGTATTTGTAGCGGTTTACTATTCTCACAGTATTATATACAGATTACAGGATATCTAGTTTATACCACTCTCATCAAACTCTCAAATCTGTAGAACACGTTGAATAATAGAATGCATTTCGCAGTCTAGAAATATAATAAACTAAATAAAAAGGAATTCTGTTATAGTTGGCTTTCTTTGTATGGAAAACCTCTAGTTAGGACATTCCTAAATTAAACATTTGCGGAAGTGTTACAAATGCAAACTGTGGATTACTGATATCAGTTCCAGAAACAAATGTAGTATTTGGTCAAAATTGGTATTTGTTTCAGAAATTTCTGTCATTTGTTTTAGTAAGTCTAGTTATTTGTTTCTGTACTTCGTTGATATTTCCCAATTGCCTGGTTCAAGCAGTAGAATATAAAGAAGTGTTGGAATATAGTTACGTGATATGTAGTGATATTTAGCATCTATAGCCTTGCATCTATAGCCATAATAAAGGATTTTTGTTACTTGAGAACTGGTTGAAAATTCTGCAGTATCATTATTCACATTTAATATGAAGTCAAAATTCTATGAAACATTTCACCTGGTTCGACAGATAATTCTGACCCTCCTAGACAGCAATTAGTAAGATATTCATCAAGAAGGTCTCACTAGGGGCCAAATGGTTCAAACCCCTGAATACAGATAATTAGACCCGATTTTGAACGCTATTGAATGGGCTGGCTGAATGGGGGGGGGATTATTTTTTTTCTCCTAATGTGTAACGGGAATATCAATCAGTTTACCTTTGAAAATCATCCATGAATGACATCCCGCCATTTAATCGGACAGCCTCGCGTGCATTGTTATATCCAACTAATCTAACCATGTAGAATCATTAGGTTATTTTGAAGCAGAAGACATGAGAAATGAGCAATGCCCTTGCCAGTACTCGAAATTGGATCTTTCAAACACTTGCCGAGTGTGCTACCGTTACACCACGAAGACATGCGGAAAGGAGTGAGAAAATACCTTAAATACTCCCTCTTTTAAAGGGTGACTGTGGAATAGGTTACCCAGTAGCCAAATCCTGGAAGTGAAATATCATCATCACCCACCTTTTAGTTCGAGCGCCACTGTAGAGACTTTTTGAAACAGAATACGTGAAAAATGAACAATGCCCTAGACAGGACTCCAACCTGGACCTTTCGAATAAGCGCCGAGTGTGCTACCGTTCCGCAACGAAGACATGCAGAAAAAAGGGAGAAAATACCCTATACCTATCATCAGGAAGAAGACATAAAATAGCTAATTAAAGCGTTTTGTTCTAAAGTCTTAATCGTATCCTTACGTTATGGAAGTTTCACAAATACTGACAATATTATCACCTTCATGTTCGTCGCTTGTAGTATGGAAAATATTTGCAAAAAGAATAGTACAAAAGGCATCACCTTATGTTAATACATGTTTTAACTTTAACTTCCAATAGAGCAATTTAAATGTGACTGAATACAACATTAATTTCAATGCATCAGCACAGATATCCTTCCCTTCCTCTATTTTTCACAATATTGTAGGACTTTATTTATATTTAGAACCAAAAAAAAACCCTACAGGCCCACGTAAAGATTTTTTTTTAATTTCGATTGTTTATTTTTAATTCATGTACAGTTACTGGTAATTCATATACAGTTACAGTTATTAGAACATGAGTTGCAAACTTATATAGGAATATTTATGAATGAGAACAGAAAATTTTTAAATTAAAGCAAAAAGCTCGCAAGTTTTGTTGTTTAAAGTAAGCGTTATCTCAAACACTTTTGCGCTGTAAAAACATTTTACCTAAACGCATAACAAAAAACACAAATAATATACATAAAATTAATCTGGCAAAGAAAAAACAAATTTTCGTATGCATTAGAACAGATATATAAATTCCTAGAGGCATTATAATAGTTTAATCTCCAGAATTTAATTACCAAGACTGTCGTCTTTGTTTCCTTAAATTAAATTTCTTTCTCTTGCCTTGTTTTTACTATAAAATATTCTTTACTTTAGTATAATTAGCTGTTTCAGCAATTTTTTACTCTTATACAATTTCAGTCACTAATACGGTTTGGTATTTTAATTGTTAAGACTCTTTATCTGCAATGAACAATGGAAAGTAAAAAAATGGATATAAACGTATGAAAGAATTTTCAACATATCAATGAATTTTAATTAAAATTGAATACTTACTGCTTTTACGCAAGTCTGCAACTGAAAGGGAAAAAACACTTTATAAACAAAAAGAAATTAGACTTATAGCACAGTTTATATTGAATACATTTTTGAAAATAAATGAATAATTCAAATAGTTTTCGAATCATACAATTTTAAGAATTAACGCTGAAATATCGCAAAATGTTAACTTCATTCATATAGACTGAACAGTGAATTATTGATGTTATTCTTTTAATAATTCCGATAATTTACATTGGACAATTGGGTATATAATGTGTATGGAACAGCATTCCATTCATCGACACTAAAGGAGAAAACACGCTTTTTTGGGGGAAAAATGACAGCTGTTGTACTTGTGAAGAATTTAACTTGTCTGTCAGTAACATCCAAACTAAACCACGAAATTCATCGTGGCAAGGAATGCAAGATTTTGCCTGTCGTTGGCAAGAGCCTGAGCACCATACAGGTGACAATACCACTTTTTTCAATTCCGCCGATGAATTTTGATGGAGAGCACCGCGGGGAAAGAGGTCCGAGGCTCTCCCACTCCTCTTCTCTTGCCACCAACCTACGAGAGGATTTTCAACTCGCCGCATATTTAGAGAGCCCATCATGCCGCAAAGGTATTATACATTTACAAACATTCATGCCTTCTCCGGGATTCGAGCCTTGGCCTTTCGATACGGCAGTCAGCGTCACTAACCACTATTCAGGTTGGGCGGCACAAATGAGAACTACATTTAGCATTAAGAAATAAATGCAAATACCATTATTAAACAAATATATATACCTTATTTCAAATTATATATTTTTTAGTAAAAAGAGATTATTTCAATTCTATTCAGGCGGCATATAGAAACAACTGCGTAAGCACCCACGTACACCTTATTCCAGGTACTCCTGAATGACCTTGAAGTTACTTCTGTAATGTTTAAAATTTCAAAACGTTGTGACGAAAAAAATTGTATTCACATTCATCGATTCCATATTAATTTTCACCGTCATTCACATAAAAATGGGCCACAAAATTAAAATGAAAAATGCGTAGTAAATAAACACAGATTCGCTGAATAAATAAATAAAAACAAAGACGCTACAATACACGTATATAACAAAAATCACATTACAATATTAAAACGATCATGTTTTCAGAAGGAATTGTAGAAATCTAAAGACCGCTATTTTTTATGAAATTAATTATACAGCATCTGTAAATAAACTTTGGCATTAATGTTTTATTAATTTTATGGTTCCGTAGCATTATTCTAGTAGCTTCAATATGCTGTTACAGTCTAAAATCAATGAAAATAGCTTTCAAATAAAACATATTTTTAAAAATAACACACATTTGCTTAAAATCTATATTATTGGAGTTAAATTTCATGACCTCTAAATTGTAGTATAAGGAAAAAAAACACTGACTATATAATTTCGTTAATTTAACTAATGTAACTTACAACAACAAAAATTGTGCAATAATTTAACTAATCAAACTTACAACTGCATTATTCATTAAATTGTTTAACAAAACTTAACAACAATAAAATGATTCATTAATTTTATTAATCGCCTGTTAAATTATTATTAATGATTTTTCGAAACTTTATAATTTATTTCTTTTTAACATTCATGCGGAAGTCAATTCAAATATCATCCTTGCCAAAATGGTCTTTGTAAGAAGAAAAATCTGGAAGTGAAACTTTTTTCTCTGGAAATGGATTTTTTTTTATTTGCCTATTTTCCTGTTACATTCCAGCTCTTTTCTATTAAAATATTTTCCGAGTGCTTCATAAGAACATTAAAGTGCTTAGAAATATTTTGTCAGGGAAATGTTGTAATTTCTAAAGAAAGAGATAAATTATCGAAGTTCGTAACGCTGAGAAAGAATAAAAAATTATCTGTTTTCATGGCATAGAAAAATATGGCTGAACATATGAATCAAGTTGAACATATAGCTTTTAAAACAATTTTTAATCACAAAAATATTTTAATGATTATGGTAATGCTACAAATATTCACAATTTTATTCGTATACTATACACTCTTTTGCAAACAAATCGAAGCACCAAAAAGGACTTTTGTGGTAGTAAGGAAATTTGGTATGCAAAAAGATCTTGATCGAGCATGCAAATGATCAAAGTTTCAAGGACAATGAACAGGAATTGCGAATATAGCGCGCATTTCTAGTGCGAAATTCGCAAAGTATAAAACCAGTAACAGAGGTGGGAAATTTATCTTTTTATGTTGCTGCCATTGTATTTCCGTAAAGAAGTAACTAAAGATGCCCATTACGAGAATATCAAAGACCTTACAGACAACTAAACGATTTCGAACGTGGTCGCATTGTAGGGTTACGTGAAGCTGGGTGGTCATACCGAGCAATAGGCCGCCACCTGCATACAGTGCGGTGCAAAGACGTTGGCAGCAAGAAAATTGCCGACGAAATGAAGGCTCTGGAAGGCTAAGGAGCACGAATGCGAGGCAAGATAGCATGATTGTTCTCCAGGTCCGAACCGCCTCAACGGTGTTATTGTCGACTATTCAACGCACTACAGCCACGTTTATACCTTCCATGGTATGCGATATGCGATAGGCGACGGGGGACGTGGGCACCATCCCTTTACCATTGGGTTAATTGGAACAGCGCCACGTCCACCTTTATCTAGAGTTTGGCGATTAGAATAATGGGAGATTACATACATATTTGACATTGGTATTAAGGAGTGCAATACCAATGTCAAATATGCCATGGTACCGTCCACCAATTCACGGCGCTTGTCTGAGGCGGGGTTATGCTCACAGAGGTCTTTAAGACCCACAACATCGGTGGAGTCGTCTGGAGTGGTGTCGCAGCCGATCATCATGGCTGCCATCAGACTGGCAACATATAGTGTTCAGCAATGAATCCCGCTTCTCTCTTGAAGCAGATGACTACCGTGTTCGTGTCTGAAGAGGACGGGGACAGCGGTCCCAATCAGCCTTTGTTTTACAAAGGCATACAGCCATAACCCCTGGTGTGATGGTGTGGGGCGCTATTTCTTATGACAGCAGGTCATCTTCAGTCATCCTCCGTACATCTTTAACAGCTCAACGATATGTTGATACCCTTAATGGCACGTCATTCTGCGGCTATTTCCCAACAAGATAATGCCAGGCCACATACGGCTCTCATATCTCTGGACTGTCTCTGTCACGTTGATACTCTTTCTTGGTTAGCAAGGTCACCAGACCTTTCATATCAATCGAGAATGTCTGGAACATGGCAGGCCGCCATATTCGGATATTCGGGCACCACAAAATATCGCAGATCTTAAGCAGCACTTGATGAATGCCTGGCAAAATGTGACGCAGGATGACATTAGGAAACTCTTCCACTCCTTGCCTCGAAGAATTTAAGCATGCATTGCCGCCAGGGGCGGTTAGACCAACTACTAATTTGAATACTCAATGGGTGATTGTGAGCCGTGAACAGGTACTATATGATGTGGAGATCACATCAGATATTTCAAAGAACAAAAGTCAAAATACTAATTTGTTCCAATTAAGTTAGTAATCTGGTAGTAATTTTTCTTCCTCTTTTTATATCTTACATGTATATATTTGTGATGATCTGTGTGATTTTTTTATAAAATCTAAATTTCTCATCTCAAAGGAGAGAAAATTTCCCATGCTATAATTCTACTTCCGTGTTTAACAACAAGCAATAAAGTTTTCAGATTTAGTTCTTCATTTGGCTTCTCTCGTCTCACAAAAGTTCGTCCATCAGACCCAGATATATTAAAATTTTGATTCGTCTGCAAAACTAACATTATTTAAAGATAATAAATCTTTGCTTACCATGAATTTTTCGAAAGCCATTTCATTTCACTGTTTTTCATTGTTTCAATGTTGTTGTTTTTCTTTAAAGATTTTCATTGATTTTGTTGACGAAGAATTTTCCATCCTACTAAGCCTACACTGTTTTCACGTTCCGACTGTGCTAACAGTTACTGCAAGTCGCTCCTATAAATCCGCTGAAAACTTCCCACTAATTTGTATTTTTGTTTAATTTTTCACAGAATAAATCTCAAATTCCTTCGTGTTAGCTTGGAATATTGTCCAGGCTTCAGTACATTTTGAACAATACAAAACAACGTCCATCATTTTAAAATATCCAAGATAGTTGAACTCTTTGCATCAAAGTTTTTTTAAATACTTTTATCATCTTTAAAATCATCAATAATTAAATTTTGAACAGAAATGTAGCGTCTTGCCATGTTCACTTCAGACACGGAACTGTTAACATATTTTGCTGAACAAGTGATAAATCCAAGTACAGACGATAATTCTTGTGATATATGTTTATTTCAAATAAAAAAATTATGAAGGAGAACCATCGTCTTCCAAAACATCTCAGCAAAACTTTCGATTGTCCGAATTATTATGCGAGTATAATGAAACCTTCTAGAATAAATTACTTCATAGCAGAGAATATTTTATGATATCTATTTTATGATAATTAAGTCATAAAATAGAGAAGAAATAATATGCTAGGGAAAAACATGGCGTCTAACTTCCAACATTTAGTATCCGAAAGTAAGTAGCCGAAAACAAATGTGAACCACTGTAAATGATAACACAATTGAACTGAGTGTGTGAAGAAAACCTAGTTAGTTTTTTAATCAAGAAAAATTATAAAACATTCTTTTCATGATTTTCCCTAAATTTTAAATCAAGGAATTAATGGAGCTTGAAATTTTTAATTAACCTTTTGTTCATTTCTTGCTCTGTAGTTGCACTATATGTATTAAGCCCAACAATATCATTACTTGTAACGTTTTGGCTAATACCTTTAAAAACAGGCATTCAAATCCAAAAGATAATTCTAATAAAATATTATGTTTTTAAAATACCAAAACCATTGTTAACAACAAACAGATTGTACGGACTGAATATTAACACACTATATAGAAGATATTAAATGGTTTATATAAATATGTTTTCGAAATTTAGGTATTTGGGCGATATATTTCTGAACTCTAGTAAATGTTTGTAAA